GCCTCTCTGGGCCGCTGCGCCCGCGCGCTCCGGGCCTACCGCCGGTCCCGGGCGCGAGCTGTTTGTGTGGTGTCTTTCCACCGCCGCTACCCCCTCTTCCCCCGCCAGACCTCGCAGCCCTCCCGGTCCCCCGTTAACACAAAACCCGGACTGGATTTATTCCCCCGACCCACGCTCTCTGAAAATCTGCCGGCTCCCAAGCACTTGGCCCTGACGCCGAGGCCACCGTTTGCCCCCGGCGCCCACGACTCCCTCCGGTGGGAAGAGTGCAGATTTTTGCCAGAAGGAGTTAAGTGAGATATGCTGGAAGTAGCTTTCCAGTTGCTGTCACAGTGGAGTCCGGGGAGGGACGTGTGCAGATTCAAGGTTTGGGGTCAGTTCCCAACGTGAGCCATCAGTCATTGGAACTCCTGTAACAATTCATCTACCAGACCCCATTGCAGACTTTGCTTACTGGGTTCTTGGCTTTGTGCTACCTAGGCCTTAGAACGTTTTCAAACATCTGTCACCCGTGGACCTACGTGGTGATATCGATAGAATTCCAAAAGTCAAGATTGTTATTTCAAAACATAATACTATGTAAGGAATGAGCACAAGGTCCGTTTGCCACGTCATGAAACGAATGACTCGGTCACCTTCTGAGGACTTGTGACAGAGAAATACTTGTTTAGCATTGTTTGGGATTAAGCTGTAGAGATCCTGGCTTCTGCATTCAAATCAAGCCCTTAAATCTAGGTGGGCTTTGTTGTTGTTGTTTTTGGTTTTGTGGTAGTGGTTGTTTTTTGTTTTGGTTTTGACAGGGGCTGCAGAGGACCTTTTTCAGCAGGTATGAGGAAACGGTGTCCTCATGCTCAGCCATTGTTTTTGGCCGTTTGATGTCATATGCAGTGTAACCACGTGGCCAGGTCCCATTAAATGCTTACTTACAGTGTCTTCCAACTGCTGAAGAGGGATGATGACAAAGATTCTAAAATCAACTCTGTCGTCCCCCCATCTGATTACCTTCCTGATAATACCTATGTTAGCTAATGACACTCATTATAATCTTTCACTCCCAAAATAGTGGTAATATTTCCACTCTACTCACCCTCATCCCCTGAGGCACTGGCCCACAAGTTCTTTTTGAGATGCCTTTGGAATTACCCTTCCTTTCCTAAAACTCTGACAATGTCACTACAGTAAAAACTGGAGGTCAGATGCCACACACCTTCCTGTGCCCCTCTTCAGATACCACCCCAGGATTCATCTTCTCCAGACCCCATTCCATTCAGCACTGATTCTTGTGAACTTTTAATTTGTAAATATCCTGCTCAGGAAGTTAGAAAGAGCCAATAGTTGGGGCATTGTGATTGATGGGTGTGTCTCTGATCAAGGCCTGGAGAAGGGAGCAAATTATCTCAGTGAGTATGGCCAAGAATAAGCACTACACCAGATGGGTGGAAACTAGCTTGGTAGTTTGGGAAGACTATTTGGAGAGAGGCAGCTAAGCATACAGGTCACGGGGCAAGAGGTGGGCAGGTGGCCCAGGGGTCAGCAGAAGAGAACATACCCTTGGAATCTAACAGCTGTTACCCTCATTACACTGGCGCCCACGTGCACATCAGGTAGGCTTGTTGACTGTAGTAAAAGGAGGGGTGGGGAGGGTAATTGGACTGGCACCTGAGATTCCTGCTGCTCCCTCCACACCTCCCAGCCTCTTTTAAAAATATATATATGAGTGTACTGCCTGTATATTTGTAAGCGCACCCATGTTGTGCACAAAGTGAGAAGGTGTTGAATGGAAATGGAACCAGGGTCCTCTGTAAGAACAGTCAGTGCTCTTAACCACTGAGCCATCTCTCCAGCCCCTACCTCCCAGCCTTTTGTATGTAATTCCACCCCAGTTGTGTGTGGCCTCCTAGTGGAGATGCCAATAGAGTGTGGAATGCTAACAAAAGGGGGCACTCCATCTACATGGCTTTGGGTAAGTTATAATTCATGCTGGCTGGAGGCTTTCTGAAGGTGTGGCTGCTTTGGGGGATCACACACTCCTGTAAGTAACCCCTCATACTTTTTTTTTTTTTTTGTCTTTTTGAGACAGAGTCTATAGCCCTAACTGGCCTGGAACTCACTATGTAGACAGGCTGTTCTTGAACTCACAGAGATCCACCTGTCTCTGCCTCCTGAGTGCTATGACTAGAGGCATGTGACACCACACTCTTCTTCCTCTCTCATACTCTTGGAGTCCAATAAGTTCATTGGTTCCCCAAAGTGGAAATCCTACTTTGATTTGTCATTGGAGCCCTATAAGGAAAGACTTCCTCCAACATAATAATGTGTAAGATCCCTTAGACTAGTAGTTAGCTTATGGCCTCAAAACGCCTGGGTCTGAATTCCAGCTCTTTCCCATTCTCTCTCTCTCTCTCTCTCTCTCTCTCTCTCTCTCTCTCTCTCTCTGCCTCATTTTCTTCATCTATGAAGAAAGGGTAAGAGTAGATCCTATCTAAATTATTTTGTGGGCTGAGTTAACATATATAATCAGCTTAGAAGAGTGCTGTCATCACTTCTGATATCAAAGGAGAAAATTTCTCAACCACACACCCTCCCCTCCCCCGAACTCCAGCTCCAGACACTACCATGGGATTGATGGTTTTCTTTTTTTTTTTTTTTTTTTTTTTTTTTTAGGCACTATTCATGTCTCCTCTTTCTCTTCCTGTCTTATCCTCCCTACTTGCTGGATTGATGGTTTTTAAACCCCATTCAGACAGATTTGGGCTTTTTTTTTTTTTCTGAACTTTTTATGTGTAAATATTCCATTAGGAATTCAGAGTCTTTTATAAAGGCTCTTTATACTAAAGATGCTCTTGGAAAAATAAGAGTACTCTCTTAAGCTCAGAAATGTCAATAACTAGCAAATTATAGTTGTGTTTATGTGTCCATATGTGCACATGGAGGCCAGAGGACAACCTCAGATATCATTGCTCGGAAACCTTCTGTCTTGATTTTTGATACAAGGTCTCTCATTGACTTGGGGCTCATCAATTAGGCTCGTCTGAGCTGGCCAGCAAGCTGAAGAATCCTCCTGTCTTCACCTCCCGGTACTGGTAATAAAACACGCAGCACCATACGTGACATTTTCTTTTTCAATCTATTTTGTGTGTCTGCATGTGCCATGCTGCACATATGGAGGTGAGAGGACAACTTTGAGAAGCCAGTTCCATCTTTCACCTTGTTGAAGCAGGGTCCCCCTTATTGTTTCTGCCGTTCTGCATGCGTTCAGGCACGCTGGCCCCTAAGCTTCAAGGTGACTCTTCTGTATCTGCCTTCCCATCTCACAGAATGAGCGCTGGAGTAACAGATGCACACCACCACATCCAGCTTTTAATATGGGTTCCATGGGTTCTGGGGATTGAACTTAGGTGATCAGAAATGCTTGACTAGTATCTTTGCCTGCTGAACTATTTCCCTGGCCTACACCTAGCTTTTTCCCCCTTGGTTTTTGTGCTCAAACTGTTACAGTAGCGAAAAAAAAAAAAAAAAAAAATTTTTTTTTAAACTAGTCAAGAATATAAGAATCTCTGGCCCGGATAAAGATCTGGTTTTGCCTGGTCATGGGACCACCCCTAGGAGGGTGGGTTTACCTTATCTTATGCTGGAGAGATGGGCAGAATACCTAGTGTGTTAATGAGATGGTGGACTTTTCCTGCCTCGAATCCCCACCTCTTAGTGAGGTTCTTGTACACTGGCCTGTCACAGACATGAGCTGTCTGCCTCCTGAATTCTTCAGAAAAGCATAGCCTCTCCTTTTCTTCATATCTCTTTTTAACCATGCTTTCCCTAAAGCTTTGAGCTGCCCCAACACCTTGTATTTACTTTTTCTCTGAAGCTCCCTTCTCCACCCCACCATGTGGCTGCTGGTCCACCATGTGTCTGTCTTACCTCCATGCAGTCTCTAAACCCACATGGCTTCATGGCTTTTTTCCCCTCTCCCTCCATTCTTCTCAAGGCAGCTGCTGAGATTTACTTACCTTCCCTGAGGATTTTTCCTTAAATTCTAATAAAATTGTCCTAAAGCTTCCATTGAATCTATTCTTAAATTTCTTTTATGAATAAGACTAAGGACCCTAAAAGGGGACCCTGTTTCTCTCCTGTATCAAAACTCAGGTCCTCCAGCTTGGAAAGCAAGCACTTGTACTGCCCAGCTGTGGGAACAACTTTTATAAATGGACATAATCTGAACTAGTGATTTTAAACTAACCCCAGCAAAACCATGTGCTCTTGTGTTTTGTGACCTGGGCATCTGATCTTATTTCTTAGGCAACCTCAGTTTGGTACGCCATCAAAAAAGAAAATGAATGAATAAATGAATGTGGGTGTGCTTGAGAATTAATATATCAAAGCGCTAAAAGGCAGCACCCCATCTCCATTGCTCATAATGGAGACTGGGAAGGACATGTGACCTTGGGTGAATGAGATATTCTAGAACTAAGGATGAGAAGGCAGGATGGGGGCTGGAGAGATGGCTCAGCAGTTAAGAACATTGGCTGCTCTTGCAGAAGACCCAGGTTCGAATCCCAGAACCCACATGGTAGCTAATAACTGTAACTCTGGTTCCAGGGATCCGACAGCCTCTTCTGCCCTCTGCAGGCATTGCACAACATGGGTGCATTTACCTACATGCAGGCAATACACACATACACATAAAATAAAAATAAAATATTTTTTAAAAAAGAAAAAGCAGGATGGTCTGTTAAGATCAGAGCAGAACCAAATTTGTACTTCGCAATTCATTTTGAATAAAATCATGGGTGAGGCCAGGCTCTAGGACACAGTTCCAGAGACAGGGTTTCAATAAGACAGTTCCATCTGCACAGTTCTAGGAGATGGACATTGTAACACCACACCCAGCCCCAGGCCTTACTCTTAGAACTGGTATGCACAGGAAGTATGGAGCCCTCTTTGTGGAGACTAGACAACAGTGAAGAAAAATAAGTGAACATGGTTTTATAGATGCAATAAGCCCTAGATAAAAAATAAAAGAGGCACTAGAAGGTGATGGAGGTTTGCTGTAAAGAAATGGTGCGGATAGGCATCGTGGTACATGCCTAAAATCCCAGCAGTACGGAGGCTTATAAAGATCAGAGGATCGGGCAGGCATGTTAGCATGCACCTTTAATCCTAGCACTCGGGAGGCAGAGCCAGATGGACATCTGTGAGTTCAAGGCCAGCCTGGTCTACATAGTGAGATCCAGCACAGCTGGGGCTACAGGGAGACCCTGTCTCAAAAAGATCAAAAAAAAAAAAAGATCAAAGGATCACAAGTTTAAGGTCAGTCTGCTGGGCTACATAGGGAGATCCCGTCTATACACAGACACACAAAGTAAAGAAATGTGTATTTGTTTATATCAAAACAAAGTTTAGGGGCTGGAGAGATGGCTCAGTGATTAAGAGCATTGATCTCTCTTGTAGATGACTTGTGTTTCATTCACAGCACCCATAGGGTAGCTGAGAACCATCCATAACTCCCATTCCAGGGAATCTAACACCCTCTTCTGGCCTCTGGAGGCACTGCAGGAAAAACATACTCAAAATTTTAAAAACTTAAGGGGGCTGGAGAGATGGCTCAGCGGTTAAGAACACTGTTCTTGCAGAAGACCTGGATTCGATTCCCAGCACCCACATGGCAGCTAACAACTGTCTGTAACTCCAGTTCCAGGGGATCTGACTGCTTTATCTGTCCTCCGCAGGCATTGCATGACACAGATGCACTTACCTACATGCAGGCAATACACGCATACACATAAAATAAAAATAAAATTTTTTAAAAAACTTAAGAAGGACATGGAACACAACATGAAATAAATCAAGACATATACAATGGACCTGATCTCCTTCCTGTAGGTAGAAATTGCTCCCTTCTGCTGTCTGGTCTGCTCTGGCTATGCTGGTTGACAGTGCTGATCAGCAGAGACAAGGTGGGCCTTGGAGCAAGTGTCACTCATAGCTCTATAATCACTGACAATTGACCATCACTTTTCTGGTTTCTTCTGATCCACAGTGATTCTTAAATCTTTAACTTTGGGGCTCCACAGATGAAGTATTTTTACATGTACCTAAAAAATGATTGAAAAAGATAAGGCTTAGTTTGACATTATGTTAAAATTTTTTAAGATTCAGAAAAATAGAAAACATGGTCCCCAAATCATAAAGTATAAACCACAACACAGAGAAGCACCACAAACTTTCACCCACCAGTAACAGATCTTTGATGGACTTATCAACCTTAAATAGATTATTTTTTTAGAGTGGTAGCTCCTTTTAAAAAGTATTTTTAAACTAAAAGTAACATTTTGCCCTTTACAAAGGTTATGAAAGTAAGATTAGGTTTGACTTTCTACACTTCTGGGAAACTGAAAAATGAATTCGGGTGATAACTGTCACCACACTGTATGAAAAATAGATGAAGGGTAAGAGCAGGGCTCATCTGTTACAACCTTTGCTGAAAGACTGGCTGACTCAAGCTCATGGCTGCACCTGACACTCTTCAGTGAACGATTAATTTAAACCACTTTTAACAACACAGTGTACTTCCCTATGGTTCTATACAATGCCTCCCAATGACTTGGATTTTTTTTTAAGTGAATATAAAAACGAGAGCTTTATTCTCCCTCCTTCCACATGTTTGCAATTCTGGTGTGTGTGTGTGTGATTTTTGTGTTTGTTGTTTCCTCATCTGTTGAGTTTTCCCATACTGACTCTAGAAAAAACAACTGGGATTCCAGAAACCTGACTTATACTCTGCATGTGACAGTGATTAAGGTCCTCTACTCTCTGAAGAGTTCATGATTCAAAGGTGACGGAGATGAACTCCCTAAGTCCTTGATCTCTTGAATTTCACAGAAGACACCAACCTGAAAAATGTTCAGATGAAGCCAGTTGCCCACTTTTCACCCTCACAGAGTCCAGTATGTATACCAACAAATATTTGCTCGCTGTGCGTCATCTAAGGCAAATCCAGGTGTCACCTCTGTTCCTAGGAACATCACTTTTTAGTAGGGAATACAGAAATTGAGAAATTATGATTTTGTTGGTTATGATCTTATTTTGCTAGATTGTTCAGTATTAAGATGCCTGGTGTGTGTACACATCAAGTAGTTTGTACATGATATCATTTGTATTAGCCTCCTTTGCTGCAAATTATACACACTTCTCAGTCCAAGATTTGTAAGTATTAGAGACATTCTCATATTTCCAAAGCCTGTTTATTTTCCTTTTCCTATCAATATTTTCACACAGGACATTTCTGGTACCATGACTGAAATCCTACTCACAGCAAAGAAAAGCCAGAGAGTAGATTTAGCAGTTCAAGAAACTCAGTCACAGACGGGCCTGATCTTGGGGAGACTGTAGAGGCTAGGGTGGCATGTGGCCCTTTGAGTTTCTGCTTTGCCTCTGAATGCACAGGTATGTGACTTGTTTTATTATCTAACTGACTGAAACAGGGTTCATGGAAAACTGGGACCAAACACTCAGCCTTGTGACCAGGGGCAGGGAAGCTCTGATAACTGTAGCAGTTAGAGCAGCATTGCAAGGCTATCGGTCGGCTCATCTGTATCACAGGCCCACACTTGTGGCCGCATGTGGAATGTGGTGGTAGGTGACCATCGCCAAACCACATAAAGAGGAAAGTCCTGGTTATTTTACTGGACAGAAGAGCAGATAATTCTATCATGTGTTATGGACTATCTAAAATATGAAGCATGAAGTTAGGACAAAAGTCACGAGTGATCTCCCTATCCAAAGACAATGGCATGCTTTTCTAGGTTGGTTTTCATTTCTATGCACCATCTTTTGTTGTTTCACATAATTGGTCATGTAACTTTTTTCACCTAACTTTACAGTAATAGCTTTTCTCTCACACAGGACTATATAACTTATACATACTAGAGCTAGCACGGGGGCGGGGGGAGGCATGAAAAGCATGAACACTTTGGTAGAAAATGTACATGGATATTTTTATACTCTCTAAGAAATGACAACCATTTAAAACTTGCTATCAAGTCAGGGTCAGAGCAAAAGTTTGGTAAGCTTGACCACAAAAAAACTTTAAGCTTTATCACTAATGACACAATTAAAAAGTTTTAAAATAAAAGGCGAGTTCATGTATATCTGTAGTCCTAGCTCCTCAGAAAGCTGAGGCAGGGGGATCATTTCTCACAAGGAGTTCAAGACCAGCCTAAGAAATATAGTTCTCTTTCTCTCTCTCTCTCTCTCTCTCTCTCTCTCTCTCTCTCTCTCTCTCTCTCTCTCTGAGAAAGGCTCTCATGTAATCCAGGTTGGCCTCAAACTCAATATGTACCAGATGATGCCTTCGAACTCCTGATATTCCTGCTTCTACCTCTGGAGTATGTGCTGGAATTGCAAGCGAGCACCACAATAGCTTTCAAGACCTCATCTCTTTTTTTAAAAAAGGGGGTAGGGGGTGGAATAGCTCAATTGGTAAAGCAATTGCCTTGCAAGCATGAGGAACTTAGTTCAATCCCCAGAACCCACATGAAAATGCCAGATATAGAGGATCTCTTGAGCTCCCCGGCCAGACTGGCCTGATGGGTGAACTCCAGGCCAATGAGAGGCCTTGTCTCAAATGAGGTGTACATTGTTTCTGAGGATGATGCCTAAAGTTGTCCTCTGACCTCAGCACATATGTGTGCATATACTTTTTATAAAAGAAAAAAAGTGTAAGTAAAAAATAGAAACTATTTTCAACATTAAGCCTAGCATTAATCTCTTAATTAAAAATTAGATATAATATTTGCCTACCAGACTGGCAAAAATTTTAAGGCTTGGATGATATTCAGTGTTATTAAGGATATGGGTAAATGGGTACTCATAGGGATATACTGTTGAACCTGTTTATTGTAATGCATATTTAATCTGTGGGCATGACTTATCTGGGAATGACTTCTCTTACAAATGGGAATTTTACCTGACCTTGTGACCTAAGTTAATCTTAGGTTTTGAGATCATTTAACACTACTCATTCTGCCTTCCTACTGTATAATCAGCTTTTTTTAGTATATTTTTATTGAATTTTTGTACATTTCATACAAAACATCTTAATCATTTTTATACCCCCCCATCCACACTTCCCCATATCCCCCCACCACCTGATTTCATGCATTCTGTCATATATGTTTGTTGGGAGCTTTACTATCATAAGCACAGCCATTGCTACATTAGGTTGTGTCAGCTTGCCTTGACTTAATGTAGCAATGGCCGTGCTTATGATAGTAAAGCTCCCAACATTTCACCCTTTCTTATTTATTAAATAATTCCTTCTTTTTAATTTTTATAATTTATGTGTTAAGGCCTATCGAGTCGAATTTGTGTACCCAGATGTCCCTCAGTGCAAGTTCATCCACTGGAGTCTAGTCAGCCTATCTAGAGTCTCTCCCTTAAAGTAGATTAACTCTCCCTCACCCAACAGTAATCAACTCTCAATAGTTCCTTGGCTAAGTTGGTGCCTGCTGCCCATTTCCCCTGTTCCCTGCTGGGTTTTAGTCTGATTAAGTTTGCATGTGTCTTGTGCATGATGTCACCATTGCTGTAAGTTCATATGAGCTAGTTCCTAGAGGCCTAGAAGACTCCATTTCCTTATGATCATGGATCAACCCTGGCTCTTACAATCTTTCTGCCCCCTCTTCAGCAATGATCCCTGAGCCATGGCCAGTTGTGCCTTCTGTGTGCATTGCACTCTGTTGCCTGAGGAAGCTTTGCTGGTGATAGTTGAGAGATGCATTAATATTCTCTCTACTCCCTCTTCTGCTATGTTCCATGAACCTTAGGTGTAGAGGTTCCATTGTAGATGTGTCACTTAGGACTGGGCATCTCTCAGACACTTGTTCTCTGTGTGAGACCAGTTTGGGAGAATGCTATGCAAGCTACTAAGGAAGAAAATCAGTCAATGGTCCAACCCCAGCTTTAAAGCCTAACAACAATGGGCACAACAAACTATAGCTTATTTAAATTTAGCTAGCCTTTAGGAAAAAAAATATAAACAATCATACTAGACTGGGCTCCCCTTGTAATCAGTTTTTACAAGCTAAGTCAAACACATAGTTCTAGTCTTAAACTATGCTTCCTATTTCTCATGATCCTTTCTTGCTCCGACCCAGAATAATGCACGTGTGTGTGTGTGTGTGTGTGTGTGTGTGTGTGTGTGTTATAAAAAAAAGCAGCAACAGCGAAAGCAATGAATTAACCCCAGTTTATGTTGCAAAACAGGTGGGATTGATTGAAAACACCTGTTGGTGGTTTTGTATGTTCTGGGTCAGTAGAGGGTCTGAAAAGGAAAATCCTTCCCTGATAAGACAAGGTTCCTTATTTCTTTTCCATGTCCTGCTAGATGTAGTTGAAAGAAAGAGAGTATGCCTTTGGTTGGACGAACAATTCTCAGAGAAATCAGAAGGAATAAATTCTAAGAACAGATCAAACTCACTCCACTTTTGGTTTAAACGACTCTAAGGGTCAGGCTGTTTTTGTTCAGGCATCACCTCATTGTGGCATCTCCATCACATTTATCCTGTTATAGTATCATAATTCCAAAATGCACTGTCATTTGAAGTCAGAAATTCTACTTTTAGATAGATATTCATCCTAGAGGGATATTGTATGAACCCAAAGAAATGACATTGCAGAATTGGCTTTAATAGCAAAATAGTAAAAAGAATGTAAGTATTCTCTTCTCTTTCTGAAGACCTCCCTATGAGAACATGCCTCTCACAAAGGTTCTCCTTCATCCCTCTCCAAGAGAGAAGTGGAAACAAGAAGCACCTGGTGCAGAGCCCCAGTTCCTACTTCATTGATGTGAAATGCCCAGGATTCTATAAAATCACCAGTCTTGAGACAAGAGAATCACAAATTGAAGCCTAGCCTGGGCTCTGCAGAAAGACTGTGTATCCAGTACTCCACAAAACACCATACAAAATTATAAGGGAAATAAACAAAGAACAAGCTCATTTATTTCCCCAAATCTGTTTAGCATTTGCTATGAGAATGACATTTTTGAAGTCTACTATCCTAATGTACCATCTTTTCATTTTCTTAAAACAATGTAATCTTTCAGATAAAATGGTATTTTTATGTATTATATGTGGCATGACTTTTTCCTCTAAATTTTTAAATTGACAGAAAACACTTCCTTCAAAGTACAATTAGAGTATTATTTTACTGAAGAAAGATTTTTTGTACCTTTTCTTATATTCTGAATTTCTTGTCTTTTCACACAAAACCTGAAAACATATAAATAAAATGATTAACAGAAATAGAAAGAAAATCACCAGTCTTTAGTCATGTAAAAAAACAGTAGTCTTGTGTTTGGCTGCTCCAATGCCCTGTCAGCCTATAGGCAGAAAAATAAGGCTGACAGAAGGATATGCCTTTTGGAGAAAGCAGAACTAAAAGCACCCTGAATAGATAAGGGGGGACCATCCCAATGAACACATTTTGGGTTTATCAGAAGGGGAATGGTTTATAAAGAAGCCTTTGGCAGTGTGTAAACCACTATGCAGTCACTAAAAAGAGAAAGCACCCGTGTTTAAGTAGAAGGCACAAGTTGCAAAGTATTCTTTATAGTGTGATTTCATTTGCGTTTAAAACAAAACCCCACAAAATGTGCTATAAATGTATAGTGTGACTTCCAATGGGTAGATGAGACTGAGTATAGGCTGCACATGACCTTTGGATGGAGAAATGGCTTGAGAGAAGAGACAAAGGGAGCCTCTTGCTTTCTCTATTTTTTGACTTTCTAAAATTTATGGATATTCTATCAGGCTATGCCTGATGCCATCCTGTCTTACTCTTTAAATGCAGTGCTGCTGACCTTGGTACAGAAAGCACCACATGTCCTTGGATTCTTGCCTTAAGGTCAGTTCCAGAAGTGGAATGAGTGATAAATGAGTATGCACTT